TCCTATAACTAGTATACAAAGATGTAAACTACACAAGATACTAGTTAGTGTAACATACCTTTTCATATGGCTGGAAGTCTTGATGCATTTGGCCTTAAGAGCTTAGCCCCAATAGTGTGGAAGCCTCAAGTGGAATCACAACACATCAAGGACAAAGGTAGGACTTGAGAGTGAATCTCCATGCACTCTAAAACCTTCATGAACTCCAAGAACATGCACACACACTAGGGGGTGACGGTTTTAGGTCATCATATATGTATTTATATGTGTTGAATACTAAGAGTCATCGGTATAACCCAAACCCTTACCCCATGGGTTTTATGAGCCATGGTTCACATGGCCCAACTCTTTATGTATCCATAAATAAACTTGATCCAACATGGATCATAAGCCCAACACATATAAATATAACTAATTAACATAATTAGTCCCCATATATTTAATTAGTCTCCTTTTGATCACTAAATCAATTCCAAATTAATTCTTGATCAATACTAATTAAAACCATATGATTTCATATTAATATATTAGAACTTATAATATATTAATAAATCATATATAATATCTTCTCTCAAAAGTCCATCCTAAAAAATTGTCCTGATGATATGCAACCCAAATGGACCATGCTACTCTCGGGTCAAGTACATACCAATAACAGTTATGGACTTAGACATCTAATCCAACAGAATGAACAATGATTTAAAGGATTTTGCAAGAGAACTATAACTTTCATATAAGTGTTTTTTCCTTTTTCTAAGGGTTTTTGCTTTTTAGTGAAATCTATGTTCCACATCTGGTACTTTGAGAAAAGATTTGAAGAATGTATGTTGCTAAGAATTTGGATTTGGAATGCCATCTAGGCAGACATGAAAATATTTCTAAAACTCTCATTGAAGTAATTTCAAGAGTCAGATGGTATTTTCATGAGTGTCCAGACTTGATGTTGTGGCATACTTTGTAAAATTTACTAAGTTATAGCATTTATTTTCAATTTTTATCTTACTTTAGCATTGTACTTTGAAAGATGTAACCAAATTTTGCATGATGTATAACAGAATGATAGATGTTGAGAGCATGTATAAGCTTTCTTGCAAAACAATGCCAATTTCAACCCTATAACATAATATGCAAGGTAGCAATACCCCAACTCCTAGAATGCCTAATCTCTCTTTGACCCAAATTAATATTTTTTTCTAATTTTTGCAGGTTGTTTGACATCGAGATGTCTATTACCTTTTGATTAACTCAGGTGAATGTTTTCCGTTTCAATTTTTCTTCTTTTGATTCTAAAACAAGTTTTTTCTTCCAGTATTGGATTCTTAATCACAAGTGACCATGCATTCTTCTTTCATTTGTTATTGCTAAAATTAATCAACATACTTCCCAAATGTTCCATATGTATGTTTAATGCATCCATTATTGACATGTATTGCTAATGACAGGAAAAGACATCGACAATAGACAATAGAACGGTATTTGATCCTTCCTGATCTGGCAACCTGGCTCTGTTCTTAGCCTATTGCTAAATTGACCCGACCCCACATCTCATTTATACTTTTTGGTCTGTAAAAGTTCCAGTTTTGAATACTGGTGGTGTGGTAATTTTGTTCACTTTAAATATTCTATGTATAATCATTTATTTGCACATTTCCATGAGACATATCATTAAAAGTTTACTGAAATTGGTATTAATTTATGTTTTTGTATGCACGTATGAGTTTTGAGGAATGTAGAATGAGTGGTGGCATGAACCAGTTCATAAGGAACAAATGAGTTGAATGTAAAATTGTAAACCCATATAGGTAAAGGTGTGTTTTAAAATCACTTGATTTTTAGTTGGGGAAAAAGTATGATTTTCAAGCATTATATTGAAGATATGGTACATTTAGTTGAGGAAGTACCAATCGTAGCATTGTAATTTAGTGGGTTTGTATATTTTGACATTTTACTTTTTTTTAAATAAAAAGGGTTAATTACAAGATATATCAATGTACATTTGTTTGTTTATATATTTTGGTACCATGCTTTTTGTTTCTTCCTATTATAGCGTTGTACTTCAAAATCTCAACTAAATTATAGTAAATTGGCCCAAATCCAATATTAGAGTTTGTGTGTTATTTGGTCTCTCTATATAAGTGTGATCTAATATATGTATATATGATCAATAATTTTCAAATTGACCTATGTATAATTGACTGTAAATTGAAAAGTTTTACGAAAATCAGCAACAAATTGATCGGTGGGTGTCATACCTATTAGTTGGTAGAAGAAATATTATAAATTTGTGAATACATTGTATATCTTTCTTTTAGCTACGTGTATTACAATTACAGGAGCAATTGAAAAGATACAAAAGCTTAGACTATCTACATCATAATGTATTACTCTTTTATCTGGTTAATAATATTATACATAAAACAATCAAATATGACTTAATTACTTGTATGTCATTTATGTGTTATTTTCTACCAAATACAAGTTGGTTAATAATATTATACATAAAACAATCAAATATGACTTAATTACTTGTATGTCATTTATGTGTTATTTTCTACAAAATACGAGTTGTAATGATACCTGATCATATAGAATAGTAATTCAACCCTAATTTACTGAAATGCTCCTTGCTGCAACTAGAGATGCACATTTATCGGTTTTTTTTTTTTGTTTGTTTTTTTTTATTTTTTCTTTTAAAACGATTCGATTTTCTAACATGTTTTTTCTAGATTAGTTTTGGTTTTTGGGTTTTTTTTTAATTGAAACTGATTTAAAAACCAGTTTTTTCGATAAAAAAATATTCCAGTTCGGTTATAGTATAAAAACTTTATATATATATATATATATATATATATATATATATATATATATATATATATATATATATATATATATATATATATATATATATATATATATATATTCAAACCTATTACTAACCGGTGATTTGGTTATAAACTAACATGTTTTGGAAAAACCTGTTCTCAAAAACCGTTTTGGATTTTTTTTTGTCGATTAAAAAAATGGTTTGAATATACACTTCTAGCTCAACAAGGGCACATTCTTGAAATAACCTTGGACACTCATATTATAACAAGGTTTGGACAATCTGTGTTATATTTGCTAACATTTTATGATATAAAGTTTCATTTGTTTATAATACCACTATAAAAAACATTTAGCTTTTTGACAACAAAGAATAATTATTTTGACATAAAATTTAACATATAACTTAATCACTTTCTTATTAATTTGACGAAAAATGAATATTTAACTGGACCACTTTTAGACTAATTTGACAACAAAAAATGCTAGATGGACAACAAAAATTACCACCTTGACAACCAAAGTTACCACTTTTCCAATTTAATACTAGGAAACACTTAAAATGATTTTTTGAAGAAAAAAATAGCCGGTGTCTTCAACGAAAAGGGTGTAGTGGTTTCAATAGTTAAACCAAGTCATAGTGGCTTTTATGGATTTGACCTTAGGTTTTTTCGGAAAGTCACTTTAACGAAATTTATGTTTTTCATTCCCACATGATTATGTCTTTATTCATTATTTTGTTGATTTCTTCTCCAAACATTTACAATTTTTATTTTTATCAAATTGATTAACAAAAAATCAATAATTAAATATACATACATAAAAGATTGTCCCATTCGGTTCTTGAATCCTAAAGGAAACAAAAAAATGGTTTGGTAGCCAACACATGAGTACATTCATATGTTTTTCAGATTCATATGTTATAAGCACATCCATTACGTATGTTGCAATTTTATTAATCACTTGTCTTGTCACCGTATCGCATGGGTATCACAATATTGCATATAAATTGTTCACATAATTCCCCACGCAAACTGTAATCACTGAAACAAAAATATTCACCGAAATAAAACTAATAGCTTCGATAGATTAGACTGCATAGATTACATGTGTAAGGTAAACGGGTGTAGAAACTATTTTTTTTAAAACTATTTACACTCGTCGCTTGTCGCGGGTATACGGTTATATTCGTCGAAATAAAACTAATAGTTTCGATAGATTAGACTGCATAGATTACATGTGTAAGGTAAACGGGTGTAGAAACTATTTTTTTGAAAAACTATTTACATTCATCGCTTGGCGCGGGTAAACGATTTGTGTGTGTGTGTTTGTGTCTATATATATATATATATATATATATATATATATATATATATATATATATATATATATATATATATATATATAGATTACCTTATAAAAGAAATCTTACTATTTCTATAAATAGAATCAATATAATAATAATATTTTTTTTAAGATGTTTAAGTCTTTAAACTTAAAATACAACCAATTATTAATATAATAATATTATAATATATATATTAGAAATGATAATGCTATTGATACAAGTATTAAAAACACATTTAAATTAGTATTTCCTTATTTTTAGGGATTGAATTAGTATTTTCATCAATTTTGACCCAACTTGTACTCCTAAAATATCTCTTTTCTGGTATCTGGTGCATTCGAAATCTGAAACACTTCTTTTCGACAAAACGTTTAAAATTTAAAAGCCAATTCAAATTGGAGTTCCCTAATTTTTTGCATAAAATATAGTTGACTGAAGACTAATTCAAATCTTCATCTAATTTTCCTCCATGGAATCCACCACCACAATATTTTTTGGTTTTGGCATTGCACTTTTTATTTTTATGAAACCGGTGTTCTTACAAAATATAACATGTCTCCGAATGGAACTAACTGCTTGAAAGAAACTATTCGTCGCCGCCGATTTGCGCGGGCAAACGTCTAGTGTGTATATATATATATATATATATATATATATATATATATATATATATATATATATATATATATATATATATATATAAAGAAACCCTATGCTTTAGAAATCGAGCAAAATAGGAAAGGTTGATCAATGTAGAATAAGTATGGGATTTTTTTGGATTTTTCTTGGATTTTCGGCTGTTTTTTCTTGATTTTAAGCAGCCTTTTGATGGGTCGGGTCCTAATGGATAGACAATATGGTTCATCACTCATGATTCCACTAAATTCCACTAAATGGGACAATGTGCCACCGTTTGAAAAGTAATCTCTTCACCTCCACGCTTCCATTCACCTCCTCCAATGATTACTTTCCTCTAATGCTTCCTTACTTTCTCAATACACTACCTCCATCACCTCTCTCTACCCATCAACCCAATATATCGACATTTGCCCGTTTCGCCACCGCTCCTCTATAATCGAGCAATTGATGGGTTTCTTTGCAGATAAGAAGCATAATCGTTGTTTCATATTGATGCCCTAACTCCATACCACCGGTTTTCTATGAACTGTTTGCTCCCCATATTCTAATTTAGGTTTTGATAACTGATAATCCATCTCGGACCTTCACTTTGGCGCTCTTATCTTCCCTGGCTTTCTTTGGATGGTATGACTGCTCCTTATTTTCAGTTCTTCATTTCGCTCTCTGCAAACCTTGTCTCTTAGTTAAGCCATTAATCCAAATTTAAATCTATACCTACATCTTCGTCCAACCATCTAGGTTTTGTTGAGGATTGGAACACCACACAATTATAAGGTAAATGCATCAACTTTTTTTCCAATTTACAACTCTCCCTTTGATATATTGAAGGTCAATTTTTATTTCCTACATTTACGCGTTCTGATTTTGATTGCCTAGATTTACTGGTTCTCATTTTTATATTGATTTTAGTTTTGGAATCTCTTTTGACAATCTATGGTTTCATATTAAAAGCAAATTAGAGAGAGACGAGTCTACCACTGGTAAGAAATTGTTTCAGTAGTAGGTTTTGGAATTGTGATAACTACAAATTGTGTTAATGGATGTAAACTGTAAGTTCAATTTTTGTTCACTGTTTATCCATGCAATATTCTGTAAGTTGTATTTTGACCCTTTTTTTTTTTTGTATATTTATGTTATTGTTACAACCTGCATGTGTTTGATTTCACATGATTATCCTCAAAATTGAATATGTTTTTCTTTAATTAGCTATTTACTTGGATCATTATCCTCAAAATTATGCTATTTCCTATATAGGAACGGATACCAGTGAACCAGAAATACATGCTCATGCACATGTAAGGTCTTTAATCTCTGTTTGCTGAGCTTTGGCTCTTTAAAAAAAAAGGTCTTTAATCTCTAAAAATACAGATCGTAATTCCCTCTCTAATCTCTATTTAGTTTTGGAATATTATTAATATAATGGTTGTTAGTAAGAAATCAAAACCTTATCTTATGGGTTGAAGATTTCACCCAAGCTAAGCCAATATCGATATTAAATTTGAGTCTGTGTTGATTCTTGGATATTTTCACCAACAAACAATATGCAATTTTGTTAAGTCGGGGCTTTTGTTGAACTATTATCTGGGGAGTATTTTTTATACCAATTGATTGGTTTAATGTTGAGAATAGTCGGTTCAATTGTATCCGTAAGCCTAAATATTTTGATGCTCACTGTTTTGATGAAGTTACAAAAGCTACGGTTGCCCAATCTGCTTATAATTGTGATAATTGAAAATATGATTTTTTTTTACTTCATTATGATATCCAACAAACACGGATTGGTTTCTGATAGTCGACTAAATCTCATAACCTACTTAGGTTACGAGATTTCAAGTTGCTTTTTGTGTTATATACTTTGGAAGAGTGACGATTTTAGTTTTTTAGTTGCAAGGTCAGCTCTTATGCCCCGCAAAGTGTTTTCTGATATGTACAGTTTGATATATGCATGTTTTTATATTTAGTATAATCGCATAGATACAACTTTATGACCCAATAAGATATGAGAATATGAAATTTGATGTGAAGAGACTTAAGAAGACTTATCTTTATTGTCCTGCCAAAATTGAAAATACATTTTCTGATGTTTTATGTTCTTTTTCAACATTTGCAGTAATATACTGTACAAACAAAAACGATGACCGAAGAACGAGAAGTATATCCAGATTGTAGAAATTGTTCAATTTTCTCTGTCGACTTAGTACATATAAATTATGTTAAAGAAAATAAATTGCAATCACATACTTTGTTTAAAAAATAATACTGTACAAAAGTAAATTTATTCGAGTAAATTTAAGTCTTAAGAGTAGAATACTTGATGACTTTATCTACAAAACTGACAAGATCATTTGTTAACACCTTTAGTTCATATACTTTTTGAGTTATTATAGACGAAGTTACAAGGTGACAAACTATAAGGTGGGGCCACCTTTTTGTGGCTATAGAGGTAATGATCTGCATTATGCAATTTCTTACAAAGATTGTTATTATACAGCCGATAAAAAAGAATTTTGCTCTGTTTTGTGGCATTCCAAATCGAATATATGCCAAGTTTTTTGGTGCATTTTTCTTAGGTTGGACAATTTTAAATTATAATATAGATAAATGCTTTAATAAAAAAAGGTTTGTGATTTTTTAATATGTGGAATAAATTTGTTTTGTTTGAGTTTTAGTTTTACCTGATATTTAAGATTGCATTATTTTTTTTTGTGAATAAGAAATAATTTAAATAGGACTTATTTATGAATATATTTATTGTAATTACATGCGATTTTATGTTAACCATAAAAGTGAAATAGAAATCAATTGGTTTTTGAATACCATGTTAGGGGCTTTGAATAAAATTTGTTGTAATCACGAGAAGCACTAGAGAAACTACTACTTAATGATGTTGGATTAAAGGTAAATATGGCCTGGTTGATTAAGATTTGTAGTGATGATTATGCTACACTTTGACATGTCATTTAGACTATTCAATTTGGAAACAACCCTTTGACATGTCATTTATTAATATTACATCACTGTATTTTCAAAAAAGAAAATTATGGACAATGTATTTTAGTTTTTACCTGATGGCAATGTATTTCAATTTTCTTTTCCATAATAGAAATCTACTTTCACTAGATTTTTTTTCCGATATTATCTTTAACTAAAACCTTACACCACTCGTGGGTCGTGCTTAGCACGATCTTTAGATGTCCCTAGTGTGTGTGTGTGTATATATATATATATATATATATATATATATATATATATATATATATATATATATATATATATATAAAGAAAAAAAAGATAAACCGATGTGGGTCGGGCCATGAGAGTAAATGTTTTATATGTTGGGTGAGTTGGTGTGTTGATATATCAGGCCCGGCATTAAAGATGCTCTAGTTGGAGTTACACAGACGTCTTTTTTTCATCAACAGAAGGGGGCAACTGCAGCATCTATTTCTTCGCCACTTTTGGTCATCATAAATCACCTTCAAAATTGGGTACACATTTCCAGCACCAATAAACTACCATCTTCTATATTCTATAATTTGTTCCAGTAACTCCACCCTTTCATGACAATCTAGATTGAGAACAATCAACCGTTTTCGTTTTGCTTAATTAATCTCACAAAAGAAGTAAGAAATATGGCAGAAGTTCAGCTGCCCACTTACGACATCATCATCTTCGGAGCATCTGGTTTCACAGGCAAATATGTTGTCAGAGAAGCTCTCAAGTTTCTTGATTCGCCGAATTCGCCTCTCAAAACCCTCGCTCTAGCCGGTCGGAACACTTCTAAACTCTCCCAAACCCTAAAATGGGCTGCCACATCTCACCCCACAGTCCCCCTCCTCATTGCCGACACATCTGATCCATCCTCTCTCCGCCGCATGGCTTCCCAAGCTAAGCTCGTCCTCGATTGTGTTGGCCCTTTTCGCCTTTACGGTGAGCCCGTCGTCGCTGCCTGTGTTGAAGCGGGGTGCGATTACCTGGATATTTCAGGTGAGCCGGAGTTCATGGAGAGGATGGAAGCCGTGTACCATGAGAAGGCGGTGGAGAAAGGTAGTTTGGTGATCTCGGCATGTGGGTTTGATTCGATTCCGGCAGAAATAGGGTTGATGTTCAATTCCAGGCAATGGGTTTCGCCGGCAGCTCCCAATCGGGTTGAAGCCTACCTGTCCCTTGAATCGGATAAAAAGATAGCAGGTAATTTTGGGACTTTTGAGTCTGCGGTTTTGGGAGTGGCTAATGCTGATAAGCTGGCGGAGCTTCGACGATCAAGGCCCAAAAGAGCTCGACCTACGGTAAGGCTATATTTCCGGCTTGTTTCGTATGATACATTCATATTTTTGTGTGATCTTTCCTGCTGAATTCAAATTCCGAATTAGTTCCGACTATATCGAACTTTTGATTCGTTCGAATCTGCCTTGTGTTCTCTCAGATCCCGGGTCCTCCTCCTCCAAAAGGATCAACCATAGAACACCAAAAACAGATCGGACTTTGGGCTGTGAAACTCCCATCAGCCGACGCCACCGTTGTCCGGAGAACGCTTTCCATCCTTACAGAAAACCCAAACGGTCTTGAAGGAGTCAACGAGGATCCTAAACACGCAGAGAAACGCTCCTCCTTTTGGTCTACAATAAAACCTGCTCATTTCGGAGTAAAGATTGCCACCAAGAATCTTCTGGGTATGATTGGAATCATCGCCACCGGGATATCAATTGGGCTTCTGGGCAGCTTCTCATTCGGGAGGTGGCTTCTGTTGAAATTCCCCTCTTTTTTCAGTTTCGGAGGGTTCAGAAAGCAAGGTCCCACAGAGGAAGAAGTCGCTAGCGCCAGTTTCAAGATGTGGTTCATCGGCCATGGCTTCAGCGACGCCAATCTTGCTTCTCAGGCGACATCAAAGCCTGATAAAGAAATCATTACGAGAGTAATGGGCCCTGAAATTGGGTATTTAACAACTCCCATCACTCTAATTCAATGTGCTCTGATCCTTTTGAAGCAGCGCCAAGATCTTCCAAAAGGCGGCGTCTTTCCTCCCGGGATCATTTTTGGCCCAACCGACCTTCAAGATCGACTACAGGAGAACGGGATTTCGTTTGATTTGATTTCAAAAACCGATATTAATAATGTGTCTACATAAAGCTCTTTTCTCAAAATTTTATGCAATAAAACCTTCTTATAACACATAAAACGTTAGCTACATCTTACAACAATCCTACCAAAATACATTTTTTATTTTTCATTCAAGGTGGTCGTGAGGCTTAAACGACATGAACATAGCCGCATAATGTTGAAGCCGGGCATTATTCCTCGAACCATGGTTCAATGTCCCCCTCCTTGTTCTTGAAACATAATGGCGCCATGCAATTTGTATATTAACAGCAGCCCATGTTCTCCAGTTTGATGAATAGTACCTTGCCCTTCGCTTCATTTTTTCATTAACAAAATTGTAACGAAAATGATTAGTGATGTACCTTAGATGTTTAGCATCTAGTGCAAATGCTTCTGTTGGCTTGACACACGTGAATGTAGCAGTTGCAGCAGGAAAACGGTCTATAAATGGAACACGAAGGCACCATGAAAGTAGCTCATCTCCAAAGAAACTCCCTGGTTCTAATGTGCTTGTTGCAACCATCCCTCGACTTAGTAATTGGGTTCTTTTTACTTTTCCATCAACTATAAACACCATTCTCTCCACAGGATCTCCTTCTCTGATAATCTGCATGCCATGATTGTTGATATGAATGTTTGTTAGTCAACTATATATATATATATATATATATATATATATATATATATATATATATATATATATATATATATATATATATTACACGTTCGTGCGGTAACTGAAAAACCTGTTAAAAACAAATTAAAAGTTTTTATTTTTGGATGTTGGGTTTGTGTGAGGAAACCTTTTCGCCCTTTGAGTAGACGAAATATGTAACTCGATCACAAATATTGTCAAGAATTACATCATCCATGAAGTTGAAAAATGGTGCCTGAAATTTGTATAAGTTAGTTACAAGTTTGACCACAAAAGTTATATAATTTATAATTTATAATTATAGTGTTTACAGTTTAATTAGATTACCTTTTTTATGAGGTCCAAGCAAAGATAACGTTTGATATCTCGTCTAAGTCCTTCAGGCAGATCTTGGATCATGTCCATATCATCTTGACCTCCCATAAATGACCACCTTTGATTCTCAAAATGGCGAACTCTTTTTCTCAAAGCAGAAGGCAATTGTCTTCGTTTCATCCACCATTCCATGTCTCTAAGTGTTATTTGTGCTCTAGTAGTCCTTCCCGCAAGTGCATACAAGAATACCTGACAAGATTCAACTAGCTTATAATTATGCCTTATGTTGAATTGAAACAATTCCAAGAGTTAGTTAATCAAAATCACCTGAATAGTTGCAACTAGCACAGTGAAAAGAAGTAGCCCAACAAGCACCATATAACATGACAAAATCACCTCCAAGATCTCACTGGTAGGCTCAAGAATATTGCCCATAGTGCTGCAGATATATAGATGTGTGCATGGGTCATTAATTACCAAAGCAATGGAATATTATAAGAGTGAGGGCATCTTTTGTTCAAGTTTTCTTGCCTGAAAGAAGTTATACCCCATAACTCACTGTATGAGATCCTTGAGGCGACAGAATCAATTGAAATTACAGGAATCGCAAACTGATAGATTCCATAAGGAAAAGACCCGTCCTCATCTAAGCACATGGAGCTTCTACTTCTAGACTTGGGATTACTTGAGCACGATAGAAAGAGGGTACTACATTTCTTGCTAGCATCACATTGTTTAGTTAGGCATAAAACAACACGTTGTATGGCTAGTGCATACCAATATCCTCCTGATGACTGAGTTGTCAAGTCAAAGAAATCAAAAGTGTTTTAGCATAAGGGGCAAAATGTGTTTTTGTTTTGACTTTTAATAAGAAGAAATTAAGGAAAGAATATAAACAAACTTACATGAAAACCAAGGTAGTAAGCCATGAAACTGAGGCCTACACGAAACCAGATTGACCCAAAGATGTACCCGTTGACAAGCCGCATACGATACATTAAGATGTAGCCATGCCAAACTTTAGGGATGTATTGGAACAAGAAAATGAGTTGTACAAGTATCATTATGGTCGATACCTTCTCTTCTATTAGGAATCTTGGTAGTACCCATAAATATGCCACCTAGCAACCATAACATGTCAAATACTACATGTACGCACATTAGTCGAGCCATGTACCACGGGTACTCTACTCATACAATGTCTAACTATAAGGTATGTATAAGCTACGAGTTATGTAACTCATTGCCAGAATGATAGAGCTATAAAATATATAATATGATTATGAGATCATGTTTCATATACACGATTTTGTTTTATATACCACTAGTTGTGAGAATGATAGATCTATAAAATATATAATATGATTATGAGATCATGTTTCATATACACTATTTTGTTTTATATACCACTAGTTGTGAGACTCATGTATTACATGAGTTAATTTAAAAAAAAAATGTTAAATATAAAGATCAAAATATTTGAGAATTTTGAATTTATAATAAAATAAGAAAAATAATGAATTATTATAATGAAAATGTTTTTTATCTTTTAAATTTAAACAAATAATTTAAATAAATAAACAAAAGAAATTAATAAGCTTTAATTTTAGGAATTTTGTAATTAAAAGGTAAATTCATTAATAAAATTATTATTCATTTATTATTATATTTATTTTAATTATTATATTAAATATTATGTGAAATTTAATAAAATAGAAAAAATCATAAAATGACATATGGAAAAATAAATCAAAATAACTATAAAATGGCATTTGACAAATTGAATGAGAGTATAATAAGTGACAAAAAAAATCTTTATTTACTAGAGTAGATTGACCACGCAAATTGGAAGAAAAATTTATGTATGTGTGAAATTGAAGTATAAGATAATCAAAAGACTTGTATATATCTATTTGTTTTCATTAAATATCTGATAGCTACGTATACATATAATACATACAAAATTGATATAAGAAGATATAAATGTTAACTGCATATAATTGTAACTCACCATATCAATCTTGAGCAAATTGTAAATCTTGAGCAAATTGTAAATCTATTATAATTTTTCCAGTGATTTTTCCACTTAAGAAATTGATTTATTCACATAAATTACAAAATAAATGAGCAATTATTTATATAATGATACACTTAAAGGTTTATTATAAAATAAGACACTTAGTTACCAAATAAATGAGCAATTAACAAGTTAATATCTAATTTGAATGGAAGGCGATATTTCAACTTATCTTTTTTGATTCATCAACTTAAAAAAAATGTGTTTCCACTTGTATATCTTTCGATTTAATTAATGAAGAGAAAGAATTATGATGAGAGCATAAAAATCAAAACATATTTATTTTTGAGTGGACGAATAAAAAGCATTTGAATGAAAATTTGTCTTGCTAAGCTCACACTTGTTCCATTTAGGAACTCTATTTTTGTTTTTGTTTTTGTTTTTTTTAAAAGCTTAACCTTAACTTTAAAATTAGTTCCATTGTAATGAAATTTCGTTTTTTTTTTTTTTGTTCTATTATTCAAAAATATTATTTTTGTTGTTTTAGAGTTGACTTGATAGATATAGAGTGAAAAATAGACTGAATTTTTTTACTAAATAATAGCAAAGTTTAAGCTTTGTTTCAGTGTTTTGGAAATATTCAAACATCAAATAAATGTATAATGTCATTTGTTGTAGTAATTATAATATTAGAGGGTGTTTGTTTTTCCTTTTAAAACATTTTTTATTTTTAACTTTTTTATCAGGGGTGTTTAGTTTTTTATTTTTAATTTTTTCAAAAAGTTAAAAAAAAATCTAAAAGTTGTTTGATAAGGCTTAATGTACTTTTAAAAACAACTTTTATAAAAATACAAATAGTGGCATTTGCAAAAGTTACACATTCATAACTTTTTGTGAACTTTTGAGATTGGAAAAGAAAAAGAAACACAAACACTTTTTAAACAATATCTTTTGGAAAAAAAAAATTTAAAAAGTTTTTTTACAAAAATAACTTTTCACCTTAAAAAGAATCCCAAACACCCCCTTAATGTATTCTCACGAGAACAAATTAAAACTTTTAAAACTTATTAACTATTAAGTTGATACATCCGTATTCGAAGTCATCTTCTTTGAATTTTAAATGTATTTTTTAAAACAAAATTATTTTATTTATTAAAATTATAACATAATTTTAATTTATAGAACATAATATCTTTTTAGTTATGCATGATCTAGCAAATTAAAAAAATTGTAACCTTATATTCTTTTCGGAAAAATTTATATTTTAATTAGAAAATACAAAATTAAAGAAAATTGTGACTATTTCGGCTCTAAATCACAATCACAAATATATAATATTTTAAAGCAAAAGTTTTGTTAGAAAATAAACAAAATTATCAAGTTCGATGTTAGAAGAATCAAATAATTTTCAAAATCCAAAAATTTAGTTCAATCTAATTTATATCATTAGATTTTAAAGAACATCAATATGAAATTCTTTTAGGTTAACACTCAATTGGCATATACATGTCATTTATAATAAGATTGAGAAATGACTTAAGAGGATAACTAATTGTTGATTTTGTTTGCATTTGACCTATTTTTTGTATATTTTTAACTATTAAACTCTCATTTTATGTTCAAATTATACATTCAAGACATGCAATAACACGTATTGTCGGTTTCATTTTTTCAAAACGTAGAGTAAAATCGATACAACTAAACCCTCACTAAATATGTTGACCCCCAACCGTTACAGACCAACAAACACGAAAATCACAAAAAATACATGTTAGTATCTTGTCAATTTCAGGTTGAAGTTTGGAAACACACACAACAAGACCTTGTGTTTTTACACATTATAGGAACACGACACGATCGGATATGAACAAGAAAAAAATGGGGATGAAATTCAAATTCAAATTACTATTCGTGTCGTGTTTCGGTCAAGTATAAAAGCACGAGGTTGTGTCGTATGAGTGTTCAAACTTCGGCATGAAATTGACACGTGATCGTTTCTTTTCGTGTTTTAATGACGTCGTTTTTTGTGTTAGTAAAAGAAAACACGACATCGTGTCATGTCGTGTCATCTAAAAACATGACACTACCATTCGATTATAAAAATTTGACCATTATCACGTTTGGGGGTTGTCGTATTTAGTGAGGATTTGAATGTAATGGTTGTATGATACGATTTGAAGAGATAAAACCAACAATAAGGGTTATTGTTGGTCATAAGTGTATTTGATGACCAATGATGTAAAAAAATCAAATATGAATAAAAATACATTTAGTTACCCTCTTTAAGTTAATTTCTCAATCTTATATGCCACCTGTATATACCATCTAGATGACACATATATTCCAATTATGTGTTAATCCGCTACAACCGGTCGTAACCGGTGGGAAGTGTATTATTTGAATATAATATAATTTAAGAACTCACTAGTAAATTATGTATAAAACAACAAAATACAAACAAAAATGATACCTAGTTACTCTCCCAAATCATTTTTTCCTAATTTAAAAAATACATAAATAGAACCGATACCAAACTTGGTAGTTGGTAAGATTTTCCCACAAAAAAAAAAGTTTTCTATCGTTACAATTTGATAAAACACGACAAAAACATGCATTAGTTTTAAAAATTTTACCTGGGGGATTGGTAACAGGACGAATGCATCTAACCAAAATCCTGTAAGGGATCGAAGGTAATGAAAGACGATATCACGTGCATCCCACACTAGCGTCCCGCATCCAACAACCAAAGATTCCTTAGACACGTAAGCCAAACGGAACTGAAGCCACACGTGGCACAGGTGCATGGCGTCGACGCAAGTTCGTACAATGCTCACCGCTCTCACTACCCTTTCGTCTATATATATACACGGCCCACCACCACCATCACCGTCGTCAGCCACTGCCAGTGCAAAAAAGAAGAACGGATCTACGGCCAATGCAGCGAAACGTGCAAAAAGAAATACTCGACTCCACCACATCACTCTGTCGCTACGGGGATCCAAAACGCGAGGGATGAATCCCTCCGTTGACGACCTCCGGTTTTGATCTTTAAACTGACGACGGGCCTTGATCGGAACTAAAGATGATCCGGCGAGAGCCTCCCATGCAGGTTGATGTGTAGGATCGCAGCTCGTGGAGTGGAAATTCGGAATTCCGAATTGACTGCATACCAAACATTGTTCTAGGGCGTCGTCTTTCTTGGGGTCACTCTTTTCTTGCTGGAATCCACCATTGATCCATCTATACAAAATTTACTAAATTAAAGTTAAACACAGCGCATGATGATGCAGTACTATTAATTTGATTTAACTCACATGCACAATGATTGATCGATGCAATTAACTAGTAATCCGAACTAACCTGGATACCATGGCGGCAGGAAACGGTGGCGATTATCAGATTTTTATTTGTTTGGAGAAATTGGGGAGGGATTGAGAGCGATGGTCAAAACTTAAAAGTGAGGAAGGAGAACATGGTTTCATCCAGGTAGTTCTACGTGGAGTCAAATAGCTCTACTTGCCACGTGTCGGGACGGCAGGCATAACAAATTATCACAAGAACATGAAAATTGAAGCAGAGAAATGGACCACCACCGTAAAAATCTATTCGCAATTGAAGTGGACTTTCAAGAGCTAAGTTACTATGACAAGTGTCAAGTTCTTTTTAATGATTAATTTTATTTTGTGGTTTCATTAATTTTAATTTTATTCTCTTGGTTTTATTTTTTTCCTGACCTTTTTTTGTTATCAGCTATAAAAATAAAATTATATATATATATATATATATGTATATATATATATAGAGAGAGAAAAAGAAGAAAAAAGAGTAAATTACACGAATGGTCCCTATGGTTTAGGGTAATTTGCGCGTTTGTTCCTAACTTATTTTTTTAACTCGGAAGGTCCCTACTATTTGTTTTTGTTACGCGCTTGGTCCTTATCTTACCTAAAAAGACTATTTTTCCCTTAATTTTTTAATTTATTTAAATAAACACACCCTTAATCCCACCCCTTCACCGTACCTCACCTACCCCATTATTTTTTCCTCTTTAAATAATAGTCTTTTTAGATAAGATAGGGACCAAACGTGTAACAAAATTAAACGGTAGGGACCAAACGCGTAACAAAAACAAACCATAGGGACCTTCCGAGTTAAAAAAATAAGTTAGGGACCAAACACGCAAATTACCGCAAACCATAGGGACCATTCGTGTAATTTACTCAAGAAAAAAAGAAAGAGAAAGAGAAAGAGGGGGAGAGAGAGAGAGAGATAGAGAGAGAGAGAGAGAGAGAGAAATGTAATGTTTGTTTTTTCTGAGGCAAAATGTATGCAGTCTATGGACCACATCTGCAGACCTTTACAATATAGAAATAGACCAAATGTATGCAATCTGAAAGAAGAAGACAATTTGTTTTTTTAATATCTGCAAGAATAAACTAAAATATAATTGAACTGATTTTTTAAAACCTAAAAAAGTTTTTCAATAATTTTATGATTTTAGTATAAATAATTAACAAAAGTAGATCAACTTTTATGTATTATTGTACAAAAGTGAAAATAAAATGGTACACACACACACACACACACACACATATATATATATATATATATATATATATATATATATATATATAATAAAACCAATAAAATTTGGTCGCAAAGTTGTACATAAACATTGTAATTAGGAATAAAAAATTTAACACATAAAATAGATGGAAATAAGCTTTCATTTTAAATGAAACTCAAAATTTTCAAAATTTTCCTTTTACCTTTTCAATTAAATAAATTAAAAAATGTTCATAAATATTTCTCCCAAGAAATGAATGATACTGCATTAAATAATATTTTATAAAATTTGGCACAAAACTATAAGACAATATTATGATTTTTTTCATATCTATATAAACAACTCCAATGATCATTATTGTAATTAAATCTTTATTTATATGTTTGTCACAAAGGTCATGTTTGTGTTGTCAAATATATATATTTTTTTAAGTATTGTAACTTTTGTTTTCCAAATTGTTTATCATAGATAAGGTTAGAATAAATCCAAGTTTTTTTTTTAAAAAAAAACCCAAAGATATATGTGTTTTTAAAGCTAGAAGATGTTTGAAGATTCTGATCCAAATCTGCACCAAGAAGAGGATGCACATAACTTTTTAGGTCTACAGTCTTAAAAAATATATTTTGCGAAGTCTAATGTCTACGCGTGGTCTGCGTAACGTAGATAGAAGAGGTCAAGAATACATCCAAACAAAAAACAAACAACACCTAATTGTGGCAAGCCACAACTCAGGAGATAGAAACTGTACCCCAAACTAGTTGCGGCGTTTGATACAATTGGGATGTCAGACCGCAACCTTTACCACAACCACACCCACCAACCTCATAATAGTTATTATTACAATGGTAACTATAACAATGTAAATTTTCAAACCAAAATTTTTCATTTTTAAAACACATAAAAACTCATAATATATCTCAAAAAACATAATAGTCTCAAGTATCAACACAAATCCACATAAAAATGTCACTATCCCAGAATCATCCACATAATCTCGAATAGGTGTGTACAATAAAGTCGGTGCCTTCCCGTGATCCTGAGAGGTACCTGAAACACATAACACATAACATGGTAAGCACGAAGCTTAGTGAGTTCCCCAAAAGATCACACACATCTCATTAGCCTCTCATGGCTATACTCGAATAAGACCCTCAGGTTAATGTATCTTAGTGGAACCCTCTGGTCCCATAACTCGGGTGGTCCCTCCGATCCTAACTCAGTAAGCTCAGAATAATACACAACATAAATCACAAAGACATAATGCAGGATATCACAATACTCAATATAAGCACACAATACCCTTCAGTCACACAAAGATTACCACTCTAGGTAAGTATATTGAGAAGACTCGACTCGTAAGCTAGTAAGTAATAATCTCGTACACGAATCTCGAACTAGCCTCCGCCTAACACAGAAGATAACAATCTCTAATTAACACTTAAATCACGACTCGAAATAAACTAGGTTATTGTCTCTCTCAAACTCATGGAATGGGTAAAAGACCATTTTACCTCTCCATGGTTCCCATTCTCCCTGCCTTGACCAAACCCTAAAGTCAACAGAAGTCAACACTCGAGTCAACTGTCCATGTTGACCTGACTCGCCGAGTGCATCTATGCGACTCGCCGAGTCCCCCTTGTTCTTTCAGAACATCGCGAAAACCCAAATCAACTCGTCAACTCTTCATGTTATCCATGTCCAAACTCATCGGGGAAAACCCTAGCCGACTCGTCGAGTTAACTTATTGACTCGGTGAGTCCCTTCAGTCTAAATTCTCATTCAGTCGTTTTAAGACAGATCTACCACTCCACACTCTACATCTAGGCTCCCAAGGCTCGAATGTCACGTAAAGCTTTGATCTTTACGTTCATGCATGACACATTTTGCTCCAAATGCCAATACAACTCTAACAAAGGTGTTTAAGCACAATAACTCTTATATGATTGAATAAAGCTAGGACCTTTGGACTCTATGGACCTCACAAGGTCCAGATATGAAGTCTAGACCTCCTGATAGACTCAATGCACTCAATGTCCCAATAAAAAGGTGGTAAAAGCCCTAACTTCCATAATCATGAGATCTAACCAATAAGATGAGAAAGGTGCAGGCTTTTTACCTTCCACGGAAGCTCTGGACAATAAAGCACTAGATCCAACAGTTTCTCCTCGTTCTTTGCTGGATAATCTCCTTTTTCTCCTCAAAAGATGCACTAAAATACTAAAAAATTAACTCTATAACTCTCGTGGCTCACTACAAACGTTTAGGGTTTCACACAAGGGAGTTGGGCAGCTGGTGAGGTGGAAATGAGGACATAAGTTCTCTTAAATAGGCCCCAACCCCGTAGATTTAAGGTTTCATCTCACAGTGCCAACTCGACGAGTTGACTCTTTGACTCGTCGAGTCGGTCATTAAACCCACATGCTCAATCCAACTCTATTCGACGAGTCGGACACACAACTCATCGAGTCACTCATTAAATCCCAAAAATAAATATACGAATATAAAACCTGAGAGTCGGGATGTTAACCCTCTAAATTACCCCATCAACAATTCCCAACAATGTCTCTAATCCTCTAACGAGTTTCGTACGAGAACCAAAAGGGGATTATAAGTGTTTCGTAAAAAAATTGCTACAAATGCTTAAATGTAACCCTTAATGCTCTTAAATAACTCTCTAATTATTATCTACAAGGTCATCTTAAGGTTGTCCATTAAAGAATATAAATTAAACCATAAAAGAGTTTCTATAAAAATAGACAAATTTTTCATAATAATAAACATTATTGATTGACGAGACGAGGATACAAATATATAATCCCGTAATGTTCGTTACAATAAACAAGACAAATTAGCCTATCGCGGATGATAGGATCATTACAACACAAAGGTGATAATGATCTATATAGAAGAGGATAGTCATGCGATAAATTTGCAAATGATGTAACTCTTTAGAGAAATTAAATATATTCCTACCTTTTATTCCTACCAAGCCTCTTATCTATTTAAAGGATTACGTTTGTTATATTAGTATCCTAAAATATCATTAAATTTCCTTAAATGAGCATTAAATTTACATATGTCACTATTTAACAGGTTAGGATGATATATAGTTACAAAAATGGGAGTATATTAAATTTCTCAACAGTTTAATACGTTGCTATTGATATATTTGTATGTTGTGTTTAGTAAATTCATTTGTCAAAATCTTTTATAAATCCACAGACATTGAACTTGAAATCACAAAAACTTAAACGAGTAACGTATATCTATTTTATAGGAGTGCTTATGACATGAAAAACACTAATTTTGAATGGAAAAAATAAGATACTTTATATAAACATAACAAAAATGACAAAAATTATATCTTAAACAAATAAGACATGGTATTTTATGAAATGTTTAGATATGCATGTTAAATAAGTATTGTACTTCAATTCGTAATATTTAGTTTTAAACATGCAAATACACACTTTTTATTATCTAAAAAGATTAAGTGTGAAAAGAATCTGATCATCTTTTTAACCCTTTATATTTCAGTTTCCCGATGTCCGATTGACGCCAATTGCCAGGGACAACTGTAGAAAAGGATTCATCTCTCTGGTTTCTTCTGTATCCTTTCACTCCGGCCGCCGACGTCCCATCGGCTACAAGAAGAGCATATCGGAGGGCAGATTATTATCGCTTGGTACGCAATTCGTAAGCCCTAATTTTGCGTGTAATTTTCGTTACCTTATCTATGATCAGCCGCAATCGTGATTGCATCTGCTTATATTGTCTATTACGATTGATTTGTACTAGTTTTATTGCCTAGAGTTTATGTTTACAGGTAACGATTGCTTTGCAATCTAAGCTATTTGTTAATTCATATCAAATGTTATATTTTTTCTATGACTAGTTGTTTGTGTCATACGATTTTCTTATGTTTTGAGTAATTTGTATTAAGTGAGATGCTCCCAACGTTTGGGATAAAAATTGATTTAATTTTTCATGGCCTAGTAGTTTATATTTATAGAGCAAAATTGGTATGCATTTCTATGAACTCCACTGGTTTTTAAGATTTATATCAGTTTTGATTCAAAAACTCCTTCGTTCGACCTCCGATCTCTTATTTTTGTCTCGTGTGTAATTCATATCAAGAGGCTATCTGCTAACTATTTTCATTAGAACAACGAAAAATCAAGTACATCTGAGAACCTGATTATTTCTAGGGTCTATTTTCCTTCTAAAAGTACTCAACTGGTTTATAATAAATCTTTGTTTTTTGTTTCACACAGGATCAATATTCAATCGGATGCATTTCCAGGATTTGAACAAATTTTAACACCTGCTACCCATAATATGTGGAACTTTGCATCTAAATGTCTAGCTGGCACCGGTGCCCTAAGGTTTAGAAACGGGTTCAGAAAACTAAAACAAGGTGGCAAAGAATTATCAGATGATGAAGCTTCATCCACAGTTAGTAAAGATGATGGACTAGAGTGCCCAATATGCTGTGAATCCTTTAACATTGTTGAAAACATACCTTATGTTTTATGGTGTGGCCATTCACTCTGTAAAAACTGCGTGTTAGCCCTTAACTGGGCCATTGTGAAGGTCCCTCCTTTACCAATCCAGTTGCCTCTTCTAATATCCTGCCCTTGGTGCAACCTTTTATCCCCTCGCCTTGTATTAAGAGGAAATTTAAGGTTTCCGCGTAAGAACTACTTTCTTTTATGGATGGTTGAGAGAATAAATGGTGAGAAGGTGAAGTCTGACTCTGGTTCTTGTGGGGAATGTGGTCCCCGCAAGAACCCGAACCAATGTCAATGTCAGACTTTAGTGAACGTGAATGTTCACAGGCGTCAGCCGTTGGGGACCACCCAAAACAGTGGTGGTGGTGGGGTACAGTCTTATGTTCAAAAAGGTTTGGTATTTTTTGTTGAGTTAACGGCTAAGTTTCCATTGGTGCTGATATTTGTTCTGATTGTGTTATATGCGATTCCTGCAAGTGCTGCGGTTTTGGGTTTGTATGTTTTGGTGACTATTCTATTCGGTCTTCCTTCATTTCTGATGTTATATTTTGCTTATCCGAGTTTGGATTGGCTGGTGAGGGAAATCATGGCTTAGGGTTGTGATTACAGTTGATACGAATAATTATAATAATAATAATAATAATAGATCATGCATGGTTGTCATGTAAAGAGTTTCTATGTACTTATTCTTTGTTGTGTAGAATATTATGGTATCGGGGATCATTCTTGCTCATTTTCTGTTGGTGTATTTGAAAATTGTATATTGGATTGTGTTATGTCTAAAATGTACAAGGTTTGTATTGTATTATTTTTAAATTGCTGCCTCAAACTGACTTGTCTATAACAAATTATAAGTGACTCGCTATCGATTAATAATAATGATAATATTAACAAAAATATGGTCTAAAGTTTTATCTGGAATAGAGTGATAAGTTTGGTAGTTTTCACTTTTTTAATTTCTTTATCTTAAATCAAGCTTTGCAACAAATTATGATGTTTATGACATATATTACATTAACATCAAACTTCAACCTATTTAGTCATCAAAGTTTTTAAAAATTATAAAGTTGTGACTTAAGTTATGGGTTTGGTTTTATTACACCATTGTATAAGTCCATAAGATTTATCACTCCGTTGGGACTAGTAATAGCCCATTTAGTTTGTTTCCTACCGATGTTACATAAGCATCTATGTATGTCCGTTCGAATTTTAATTTTAACATTTTTAAATTTTCTTTATATAGTAAGTTGTTGAACTTCTCCATGCAACTAGAAGCTTTCCAAGATATTTGATCAAAAGCTTTCAGGCTCGCAACATTCAACCAGCGACAGACACAAAGTTTGAGTAGTGGAGACATTAAAAAGAAATTTCCAAACAAATCCAAAATAATAGTAACACTCATACTTCTATATAAGCTCGAGAAATGGTGTGACATGACTTAGTAACATAAAAAAAAGGTCAAATTTCTTTAAATCTTAGCCCAAAAAATACAAAACAATCAAAAACATCCATTCAAAAACTAAACGTAAAAACATTAAAAATCGGAGAATTTTTGTTGTCTATTTATAATATACGAAAAGATACAAAATACTTATTCATTCATTAGTACCTCTTCAAAATACTAAATTACAATTTTAGCTTACTTAGTCCGACCCTTTTGTATGACCCACATGTGATTGCCCTTGCAGGTAGGGGTGTTCGTTTGGATGGATCGGTTTGATTTGATCCAATCAGATGAATTCAAATTAATTTCGGTTTTCAAAACGTGAATCAAAATAGTCCAAATTAATTTCAAATCCAATCTGAACCATTCAAATTAGAATTCGGTTTGATCGGTTTTTATAATTCGGTTTTTAACAAGCGAGACATTATATATATATATATATATATATATATATATATATATATATATAACATAATATTAATCAACTCTAAAATAAATTGTTTGATGAGAATTAAAATTATGAACTATTAAATTTTTTTATTATAATTCAATATTTTATAGATAAAAGAGCAGTTGAAAAGTATACATTGAAGTATTTTATTGAATAATAATTTCTAATCTTTTTAAAAATACAGTTTATCAAATTAATAAATAGCTAAAAGATGTATATTTGAAACAAATATATATAAATAAATAAATAAATAAAGTCTTATTCGGTTTTTTTGGACTATTCGGTTTTAATTTTATAAAACGTACCCAATCCAAAATCCAAAATAGTAAATCGGTTTCACTAGAAACTCATCCAAAAATCCAAAAATCCAAAAATCAAAACCAAATAGTGCAATCCAAATTATCCAATCCAAATTGTCCAATTAGACAATTTGGTTTTATTCAAATAGTAAACAATCTTACCGGCAGGTTCTTAAGATTGCTATTTCTTTGATATGGTGACACCTCTAGTAACAAACTAACAACTGATTTAAGAGGGTCATCAAAATATGGATAGGTTGGGTGCACGTTACTATGCATGTTTTTTCTTTGTTATAATCGGTTTGTCTAGCTTCTTACTAGCCTAATAAAATTTCTACCGTTCTAAAAAAACATAAACAATGCATATTCATTGAATGCCATTTACTCAACTAAGCTAACACTTATTAGTAAAAAAAGCCTTACGAATTGCAGCCATGCATCCTTATCAGCGAGAAGAGAAAAAAATACTACAAATTAGGAATAAAACAAAAGGCTTACTTAGAGTTTTGTCCATGGAGCCGTGGAGGTACCGAATTTGATTGATGAATTTTTTTTGAAGTGATTAAGGTTCTGAAATTCAATGTAGGTAGATTCCGCTTTATGTTATGAAAGTTTAGAAAAATGCTACAACATCCAAGTAGATACGGATTGGATTTGAAGATCAAGAAGTATTTAGTGACGTTTAGGTATTTTATGAAAGCCTTGGGCATCGAACCGATTAGTACCAAAACTAAAATGATATAAAATAAAGAACCAAGTACCATATAATTGGTTCATTTTGTTCATCCCTAAACATAAGATGATCAGTAATACTTTCCATGCCAAGGATCGTGGAGAGCTTCCAGATCAACCATCACAAAACCATGAAGTACTCTCAACCGGAGGGGGGAGGAGAGAGAGAGACCTCCCACCACAACTCACAACGAAAACGACCGACCACGAACTCATGAAATAACGTGCACAATGATGGTTTGGTGTGATACGTATTGCATAAGGCCTAATAAACCCCCAACTTATAACCGAGTGGTTTATGTTTCAATAGTAAATTAACAAGGATGTAAAAACAACAAAATATTGAGGGGAAGTGATTGGATGGAAATATGGAATGATGGGCTGTGACTTGTGGTGGCAGGAACAGAAACAACTCGACAAGCCTCGCACTCTCTTGAACCATCTTCTTCCTTCTTCATATCCTTCCGTATATATATCTCAACTGTTTCAACCCTCTCCTCCACTCATCACTTCACTCACAAGTTTTGCGTTGGAACTTACCAGAACCCTATCTTTCCCGTATTCCCACTCAATCCCCTCTACTTTTCCATTCCTTCATCAATCCCAAGAACCTTAATTTATTGGTCACTGGACTCACTCTTCTTCCGTCACCGATGGCAACGACAACGTCTTTCCCCGGCGTTCGCATCCACGCTCCATCCTCCACTGGCATCGATAGGACTACATTGTTTGCTCAACCGTCTGTCTCCTTGAACTCTTTTTCCAAACCTAGAACAACTACCCTACGTTCGTTGAAATTAAGGAGTAGAAGTAATGATGTTTTGCTGCTCACTCGGACGGGTGATAGGTTTGGTGACAAAAGCTCTCGGTCTTTTGTTGTTCGTTGTGATGCTTCATCCAATGGGAGGGTAAACAGTTACTAAAACCTTTCTCTTGATTTATCGACTGTACTTTTTTTTTATTTGCTTAGTTTTCATTGGTTTTGTGCGTTCCTATTTGGATATGAAATAACATCCCTTATTATATAGTTTATGTGGTTTGTCGATGATCAGTTGGATTATTTGCAAGATGTTAGGGTTATGAATTGGGGGAATGAATCAATCCATGATTTGTGAGATTCAAACTACTTTATTTCATTACCTACAAATAAAACTCATATCTTTATGAACTTAACAAACGCATATCTTTGCCAATGAGCTAATGTTGAGTTTCTTTCTCATTACTTGTAAACTTGCAGTGGTTTTTTCATTAGTTACTTGTTTCCATAATATACTCATGTGATGTCTGGACATTGCATTGTCAGATTACTCAACAAGAATTCACAGAGATGGCATGGCAAGCAATAGTGTCTTCACCTGAAGTGGCAAAGGAGAACAAGCATCAGATAGTGGAGACTGAGCATCTGATGAAAGCCCTTCTGGAACAGAAAAACGGGTTAGCTAGACGAATCTTCTCCAAGGCTGGTGTGGATAACACCCGCCTACTTGAAGCCACTGATAAATACATTCAGCGACAACCAAAGGTGAGATATTGTTGTAGATAGATATTATTATGGATTAATACTTGTCTGAATATTAGTATATTACCTATTCTCACCTTGGAACTCCTGATTACACTATGCTGTAGGTTCTTGGTGAGTCAGCTGGGTCGATGCTAGGGCGTGATTTGGAAGGCCTAATGCAAAGAGCAAGGGATTACAAGAAAGAGTATGGCGACTCATTTGTGTCTGTTGAGCATTTGGTACTTGGTTTTGTGCAAGATAACCGATTTGGGAAACAATTGTTCAAAGATTTCCAAATTTCTTTAAAAACCTTAAAGAACGCAATAGAATCCATCAGAGGACGACAAACAGTAATAGACCAAGGTAAAACATGCAAATGATTTTGCTCATGTTTATGATGATTGATAAGGATCTTGGAAATCCTTGAACTAGTATAAACCCAACTGATCCTAATTCCTAATATATTTTGAACTTCAGACCCTGAAGGGAAGTATGAATCATTAGAGAAATATGGTAAAGATTTGACTGCTATGGCGAGAGCAGGGAAGCTTGATCCTGTGATAGGAAGAGATGATGAAATACGCAGATGCATCCAGATTTTATCAAGGAGAACCAAGAACAACCCTGTCCTCATTGGTGAACCAGGTGTTGGAAAAACTGCAATTTCTGAAGGGTAACCTTTTCTATATCCTGTATTATACATGTAATTACAAAAAACCCAACTACTTTGAAGCCTTTGGAACCTAAAATTCGTGTTTCCCTATTTGACAGACTTGCTCAGAGAATAGTGCAAGGTGATGTGCCTCAAGCTCTAATGAACCGAAAGGTACATAGTGCTATCTTATCTTATCTTTTTTTTTTTTGGCTTGACCTTCTTGAATATGGTGTGCATTAACTAACTAACTTGTTATTACATTCCAGTTGATATCCCTTGACATGGGTGCGCTTATTGCTGGAGCAAAATATCGTGGAGAATTTGAAGATCGACTCAAGGCAGTGCTCAAGGAGGTGACAGAATCAGACGGACAAATCGTTCTGTTCATTGATGAGATCCATACTGTTGTTGGGGCAGGTATTTGCTTGAATTGAACCCTGGAATCTGGATAATCTTTTCATTTCATGAAATATACGGTTTTAATCATATGATCTCAAATTGATGTAGGTGCTACAAATGGTGCAATGGATGCTGGAAATTTGTTAAAACCAATGCTTGGTCGTGGAGAGTTGAGATGCATTGGTGCAACAACATTGGACGAGTATCGTAAATATATCGAAAAAGATCCTGCTTTAGAACGCCGATTTCAACAGGTTTATGTTGACCAACCTACAGTAGAAGATACAGTTTCTATCCTCCGTGGACTCCGTGAGAGATATGAATTACATCATGGAGTACGCATTTCCGATAGTGCCCTTGTCGAAGCTGCA